CTTCCTTCTCTTTTCCTTTTTTCTTTTCATCGTCATCTGTTTCCTTCATTGAACGAAATTCGTATGCAAACATTTTTTTGACATTAAGTTATCTAAAAATTTTTAAATTCTTTTTTATTTATATCACAATATTTTTTTTTTGAAATCAGCTGACCGTCGTTTCAAGGGGTGTTTCAGAAAGCTACACCAAACACTGGACTGGCCAATCTGACGAAACGTTGCACATTGCAAATTATAATTATTATTCTCAAAAAAAAAAAAAAAAATTAGAGATGCCTTCAAATTCCGATAAAAAATTGGTATTTATTGAAAATATAGTCGTAATGAACTTGAAAATGATGATATCATAAATGATATGTTATCATTTTCATCAAACTCATGCAATAAGTATTTTGAGATATTACGTACAAATGAAGAAGATTTTTTTTTGGAAGAAATCATTGATAATTCAAGAAATAGCAATATTTTATATTTAATGAAAAGTTCGAGACCAGGTTGGAATACTTTAAATGGTAAATTAAAACTAGATTATGGGCGTACTATGACTTTTGATGGAATTAAAGAAGCTACCAAACAAGCATTTATAATGATTGTATATTAAAGGAGATTGGTGCTGAGGGACATAAAAAAGATACGCTTGGATTTAAATCAAAAGAAGATTGGATGAAGAAAACTAATTTATTTGTTGAAGCAGACGGTATTAATATAATGAATTTTGTTAAGATAGGATTATCTGTTGGACTATCACGTTGTGATAACTTTAACTTTGAACTTAATTCAACTTATCAATATACGGAATGTGGCAAAGTATTATTGGGATTTAATAAATATTTAGAGCCAACTGAAAAATTTACAGAGACGATTGAGGAAGCTATAAATTCAGAAGATCCTGTAAATTTTATGAGAATTATTGAAGAATATGGACGATTCATTCCGACCGAAGTGATTTTTGGCGGAAGAGTTTATTTTAGAGATGTCGAAAAATTAGAAACGCATTCCGGAGAAAATACTATGAATGGTGCTTCTAATTTAGAGATAGGCCATTCAAAATTTAGCAATAGTTCTGGAATCTAATTCAGAATTTAATAAGTTAACTCGCAATAGTATGAGATTACTTGGAGGTAATCCACTTGAAGATGAAAATTTTAATGAAAAAGCCTGGATTGAGTCATAAAAAAATTATAAAAATTGGGCTTGTATAGAATTTCGAAATCCTGTCAATATTTTTAAGCTATTACCTGAAGAATTATACAAACAAATCTATGAAATTATTGGTAAAAAAAATTCTTTATTCAAATATTGAGAATCACGATTTTAAACCTGGAAAACTTAATGTTAACGAAATAAAACAGTTACCGAAAGTTCTTTGGAATAAAACCGATTACAAGGTTTTCGCTACGGTGATCGATACTGAAGATTCAAAAAATGTCTTTTTTAATTGTCAAATTCTTCATCCATCAGGTAAAATACCAAAAATTTTAATTCATTGTATTCAAGGAAAATCAAAGACTCTCGGGTTAATTAGAAAATTCAAATTGAAAATTGGATTAATGATTATTGGCTATGATACGGATTTAACTCCACATTTTCAGATATTAATGTCCAATTAATCGAGGAGCTTTATGATACAAAAAATCCACATAATTTAAAATTAGAAATTAAACATGCACCAATTGTGGGAATTCCTATATTAGACAAATTGGATATTTCAAATAAGTCTCACGTCATTGGACATTATTTTTATACCGATCAAGATAAAATTGGTGTAAACATATTCACTTATTGTCTGAAAAATAAACAATGAAGTGTAGAATTAGCCAATTTTACTTTTAATGCACTTATGTTTTCAAATTATCCTATTTGTAAAGAATTTGGCATTATTTCTTTTGAATCTATTTCGAAGAAGCAACTTATTAATCTTGAAAAATTCGATATAGCAAGTTATCAAAATCCAAATTCATTAGTTTATATTTTAAAAATGAAAGTAATTATGGACTAATTTTTTTAAAACGAGTCAGTAAGCAAATTAAAATAAAATATATCGAGTGTAAATGCAAAAAAATGTAAAATTCCTGAAATAAATATCAGAAGAAAATACAAAATGTGCATTCGTTGATCCATACATAAGGTATTTACATTTTTATAGAAAAATTATTATGATAAATTTTATTATTCTAACAACAATCTAATTATTTTTCAAGGACCTAATTGATCGTATAATAAATCTGTGGCATACTTATATATAATCTTTCCTAATTCTTTCGCGGGTTACCGTTTCAATATAGTCCATTTGTTCGCAGGATAATAATTTTCGGTAGGGTCGTCTTGTTTGTGTATATTTATATTTATTTATATGATATAAAGCTTGTTGTTTCACTAGATTCTTAAAGAATTTTCTGAATAAAATTTTGTAGAAAGTGCATTTTTAATATTTTTAATCTAAATTTGTAAAGAAGTTAAGTTAGAATGGATTTTAAATCTTATACAAAATCTACTAAATTTATTTATTTTAAAATTTTGTCGTTAGCTTTATTATGTATTATTAATATTAAATAAACACGTTTTTAAATTATAATTTTTGAAGCAAATAGAGTAAGATTGTAAGCAGAATACGAAACAAGAATACGTTCATTTATGAGGCTTCAAATTTTATTCATTTCTTTAATTTTATTAATACCTGCTTTCTATTATGAAAATTTATTTCGGTACCCAACAATATATGAATGATAAGCAATGTCTTGTAAATTAATTCGATGTTGAAAACATATGAAACATATCAATATCTTTGCCATGAAAATTTCGTTTTTGATTAAACGTGAAATTATGAAGGTTGTTTACGAAGCAGCATCATGCTGTGTCCACTGGCTAATATGTCTTCCGGTCTGGGAAATTATTGTTTTTCCATGGCCAATATATCCTCCAGCAAATATTCTTTAAATGTAATTCAGTTTTCTGGAAGAACAGAGCGAGCTAACATGGAATTTAGTTCAAATATTTCTCTTTAAAGTTTTCGTAAAGATTTTGCAGCCCTTTCTTGCCTTACTATTATAAATAAATAAATCTTGGATTTTGTAAACGCTGCCAATATAACCATTAACATTTTAACCAAAAATTTTAAATTTATTGAATTTTGTAAAGTTGATAAGTTTTAAAAAAATAAATTTCTAAAATTTGAAACTGAGAATGTCGCGACGTCCTGAGACTCAGTCACTCAGTCATTTGAAATTCCTGAGTAGTCTCTTGCGGAGTTGACTTATCCGTCGACTCCGATTCTAACGGCTGATTACTAACATCAGCACGCAATGAATTGTTGAAGAGTTTGTTATCATTTGTTCGGTCCATTTTTTGCTCGATTTTGAGGTTGATTTTGTTGGCCAGATAAATTTTTGCAATACAAATAAATAATAAATACTATTCGCAAATTTTTTGGGGAATCGATTCAAACAAAAAGTAAAATCGATTACAGTAATCGCGATTCATTTTTTTATGGCGCAGTGATTTTTTTAAATTCCAGATAATTCAAAATAAGCTGGACAAATCTTTAACGTATTAATATATTACATGTATTAATCGCGTAATACTAACTATAAAAAATTTTTAAAAAAACTGATACGGGTGGAATACGAGAATTTAAATTACTTGATAATTTCGCTATCATTTTTCTCATATACATATAAAAGAAATTATACGATAAAGATTTGATCTCGGTCGGTGGTTTGAATTTGAATTAATTACACTAGACCTTTGCTATTTTGGAGAAATAAAAAAAAATGGAATATATTTTTTTATTTTAACATAAACCCTATCGAAAACGTATTCAAAAATATACAAAAAATTTTTTATTCGCTTAATTTGGCATAAAAAGCTGACCCTTATGATTGTTATACAATGCAAGGTAATTCCACGAAGCTAGACTTTGTTTAAAGAATTAGAAATTTGAAGTATATTATTGCATTATGATTTAAGTATTGATTTGAAAGTATTGTCTTACTAGAATTTGGAAAAAAAGCAATAGTATTCCCTCATAAACTTTCAATGTAAAGCTAATCGCAAATATTATAGGGATGTGTGCAGTATGTTGTTTTCCTATATGTCGGTTTTCAATATGCATCCGTACGTTTGCTGGAGTTCAGATACTTTTATTTTAGCCAATAAGCACAGGTTTGAATTATATTGGAATGCTATGTTAATTACGTATATTGCTAATAATTATAAGGATCGTGACGAAAATTAAACTTGATTTTTACTGACGATATTTTTTATCACAGAGTATGGCAAAGCTGCTTTGAAATTTAATATAGATTATTTAAAGTAGTGTTTATATATATAAAGAAAAATTAACCAAAAAGTGTTATAGATTGCCTTTGATCATCCGGAAAAATATGAAAAGAAATGCAGAAAATGTGAAGGCATGACAAACTTTTAATTTGCTCTCATTACACAATGAATTTTTTGGAATTGAAGGGTCTGTTATGTTTTAAGATAATGTATATTGTTATAACTAGCTGAATTATAAGATGCAAAATTGATATATTTGATATTTATTGTATAAAAAATGTTAACAGATTAAAGTACAATGTTATTTACCCTACAAAATTTAATAGCAGGTTCATATTCATGATAAACAGCCAATTTCATGTAATGAATAGCCTTTTGTTGATCTTTTTTTCCAGCAATGCCAACATAATACAAATGTCCTGCATTAAACATTGCTACCTTAAGGCCATTATCTGCTGCCTTTACAAAATATTCGAGAGCTTCTGGAAGATTCTTTTGAACACCTTTGCCATGATATAGACAATCTCCATATCTTAATTTCGCTTCTGGTATTTCATTTGCTTCATCATCATCAGCGACTTCTTTAAATAAACCTGCAGCAATCTTGTCTCTATCCTTAGGACTAAGATGCGATCCATCGTATCTTTTTGAAATGTAATATGCCTTCCAATATTTGGCCTTGATTTGATCTAATTTTGAATATGCTTCGAAACATTTATATGCTGCAACTATATCTCCCTTTGATTTATGTTGTATTTCTGCTTCGGAAAGTGTCATGTAACCGAATGAACCAAAATCTGGCAATTTATCATCTTGATCGATACCGAAAGATCGTTTTGGCTTTGTTAATTTCAAATTTTGGTTTGTTGAAGGATATGAATTAAAAGAATTTAATAAAGAAATATCCTGATGTCCTTTAAAACAATTTCCAAGTACTTTAACCATATCAGCAAGTTTTGGTCTGAAATTTGGTTCGGGATTAACAGCTAAAGAACAAAAATATAAAAATAATTAAAATTTTGCAAAAAAAAAAAAAAAAAAAAAAAAATTTTTTTACATACCATTATGGACTAATTTTTTGAATTCTTCAGGGATTCCGTTATTTTCAGAAAACGGCTCGCGATATTTTTGTTTCTTTATAAGTTCGGATATAACTAGAATATCATTATATTGTTCATACGGAATTCTCGTTTCAGCGATTTCCCAAAGTAAGATTCCAAAACTATAAACTTCACACTTATGATCATATTTAACATCCGGGGTCCTATCCAACAACTCAGGAGCACAATAACGAACACGTTCTAAATTTACACCATGATTTAATGTATCATCACCTGAAGAACGACTTAATTTAAAATTTGCAAGTTTCGCTTTCTCATCCAATGTTATTAAAATATTCTTGGATCTAACGTCACGATGCACGATCTAAAAAAAATAACCCAAACTTAATAAACTCTTTTAAAAAAAAAACAAGCTAAATAATTGAAGCAATTAAATAATTCTTTATTATTTACCTCTGCGGATCTTAGGAAATTTAACCCACGAGCAATATCAAGGGATATTCGTGATTTTAATTCCGAATCAAATCGATCTTTACGGTAAGTATAAAATTCGCGTAAATTTCCAAATTCAGCCCATTCTGTTACCAAATAAAATGCATTCGCATGATTGACCAGTCCAAATATTTTAATAATATATTGGTAATTTTGAAATTCTTTAAGAATTGTAACTTGATTTTGTATACGTAATTTGTCATCTTTTGCATTAGAAATATTCTTGAATGCAAATTCTTGACCTTTAACATCAACCCATTTAGTAACACCCTGCCGTGGTTTATAATTATCATTTGTTTCTTTATAATTCGATAAATTTAGCTTATGAACCCGGAAAATTTGATCGATTCTCATTTGATCCTGTTCGGAGGTAACAACATGGACGCTCGTTAATCTTTCCATTGTATGATTCATTACATTGACTTTTACCACCATTGAAGAAACTTCTTCTCTAATTTTCTTGACATCACCATTTTCTTTATCTTCAATTTTCATTTCTTCCAGATACTATGATGATTATAAATGTTATAAATTAACAACCTGTCTAAAAATCGAAATGTGATTAATTTTAAACTCACTTTATTTAAATCAACTTGATCGGTTTTGAATTGTTTAATTACTTCTTCAACATGAATTTTATTTTTAATGAATTTTAATGAATTGATACATTCATTGAGATCTGAACAAAGCTCATTAAAACTTTTCTCAATATTGCCTGCTTGAATATACTTTATTAAAGTTTTCATTTGAGAAATTTCTCTAGCGAAATTTTTAATTGGTATTATTACATTGACTAAAATTTGCAGACCCAAATAATTTTTTTTATTAAAAAATTCTTGATTAAGTTTTGAGACTTTGAGATCGAGAGCCGCCATATATACTTTATAAATTACTCGTAATAATGCAGCACAAGTTCGTTTATTATGTTCGGCAACTGTTTCAATGTCAATGATTTCGTCAAAAGCAGTTCCAATTTCTGAGATCAAAAGATAAAATTTTGTAATTGGGACAGCGGCCTTGGCAATTTCTTCTTGATCTTCTGCTTTTATTTCCGTTATTCCTAAAATACACATTTTTAAATCAGTAAGATCAAGGAAACCTGAAAAAAAAAAAAAAAAAAAAAAACCTTTTGAACGAATCAACTGTAAATCATCATCATCATTTATAGAACGTTTGATAATACTTTGAATGTCAATCAGCTTATTAAAAGCATGATACGGTTTGTATTTCAAATTTTCTTCAGTTAACGTATATCCAAATAAGTCTAAAGGATATTTCGTTCCTCCATGATCAACCTTTATTGAACTTCCATAATCTGAACGTAATATACAGACATATAAGTCTAAGTCTATTATGTTAATAATCGTTTCGTTGTCGTCTTTCCCGTGATTATCATTTTCCTCCTCATAAGAGTCGGTATCACCATCAGAAATTATATCGGTACCTTCCAAGTTTGGTTCATTCTCAGTTGTTTTAATTATATTGAAATTAATACAATTATATGACCAATCGACTAGTTTAATATTATAATTTGTTGATGAAAAATGTGTGCCAATAAGTATATTATATCCATGGGATAAAGGAAATTGAGTTTCGATACCATATATTGATTTGTTTGGTTGCAAAGTAATAGACTTTTTGATACGGTCTACTTGAATTTCTCGATTATTTGGGCTAAAAACAGATAATTTTAAAGGATTTCCGACTATCATCCATAAAACAGAACACTTATTAATATCAATACTTGGTTTCTCTATAGGGCTTATCATCGCAGAAAATCCATTAACATCATAGAATCCAAATTTTACAAAATAATCTTTAACTTTTATGTCTTTCTTAACAACTGATCCATATACTTCATAGCTTTCATTCTCCAATGATGGTTCTATGAATATACGTTTGTAATTCTCTGTGTTATTGTTATTTAAATCCTTCAAATCAGTGATTCCAGTCATTAAAATTTTTAAATTTTCTTGATTATTATTATTTGTCACTATATCAATTTTCTTCTTTTGTTCTGGCCCAAGAATATCATACAAAGATATTAATTTATCATATTCTACTATTTCCAAATCATTATTTTTGACATTACTAATCCAATTATGTAACTCATCTTCTTCAAGAATATTTCCTGTTTGTGTTATGAAATGCGAAAGATTGAACTTCTTCAAATATGGATCTAAAGATTCTTTTATTGGTAATTTTAAATTAATCTTTTGAAAAGTTTCAAAATAGGTGGTGATGATTATATTTTTGAGAGATTTTCCCAAGACTATTCTTAGTGGAAAGAAATTCCCATATTCATTATATACATTTTGTAAAGCATTAAATGGTTTCATTTCATCCAGCGCTTTATCTATGGCATTACGAAATTCTAATGAAGGTTCTATATGATGCTTATTAATAATAATTTCATATAATTCACACTTGACTATGAAATGAATAAAATAATCCACGTAATCTGCTTCGTTATCATCAATTTTGATAAACGGAAAAGGTTCAGTATTTTTAATTGTGAAAATCTTATTTGTTATTAGACATTCTTCAAATTTTGTCGTTGGATTTATCATTTCAAAATAAAAGTTGCCAATCGAATTCACTTGAGGAACTTGAACAATATTCATAGCATTTTTCTTGCTACTCTCTACTTTATCCGATTGAATTATAAGACCTTGAAATATATGAAAATCTTTGATCCATCTTATAATGTCAACATATTCAGTATTACCAATCTTTCCGATCCACTTTTCCAAACTCAACTTTTTTTCAAAATTGGCGATTCCGGAACATCTTTCCTCAAAATTCTCGTGATTTTCATCTAACATTCCTTTTTTTAACTGGGTGATTGAAACAAGTTTATCATAAGAAATAATATCTATAATATTTTCTTGATATAAACTGTTTAACCAATTAGCCAATTTTTTAGGAGTATCTAAATTTAAACCATTTGATGTTTCTATTCTCGGTAAAAAGTTCAATCCAAAAGAATTATTATTGAATGTGGAGGTTTCATCACCTTTAACTGAATTATAAGCCCAAATTAAATAAAGTTTTAAAATATCCCTTTGTATCGAAGAAGCTAAATTAAAATCTTTGATAAATATCTGTCCACCGACTAAAATTTTATATGCAAAAACATGACCGTATAAATCATGCAAATTTCCCTCATCTGTAAAGTTTTTAAAAGAGTCCGATAGATCAGTTCTATAAGTAATCTCAACAACCGGAAAATTAACGCACAAGTCCGAAGGCTTTAATTTTTCAATATCATCATTATTAATTTTGTTAATGGTGAATAAATTTGTAGGAATATTGGGATTATTTACACTAGTAAAAACCATAGGCCTTCCATCATATAAATCGATGCACAATCTGTCGCCATCAACGATAAAAACAGATTGTTCACTTTGTCGTATGCTACATCCATCCAAGATTAAACCATGATTCAACTTCCACTTTTCTATTATTTTTTGCTTTGTTAATGGGTTTGTATCTACTTTACATTTGATGTTTTTGGAAATTTTAGTATATAAACATTTCGTTTTTTTAATAAAAATCAATAAAATGAACTTACCAATTTGTGTTCCGACTTCTAGAAGTGAAATCCCAGATAAGTTCTCCAATATTTGCTTAGCTCTATAATTATTATTTTCGGCAGATTTTTTATACCATTCCATAGCGTTTCCAGAATCTTTTATTGTACCTATTCCATCTTCAAAACAAACAGCAACATTATATTGTGCATCATTGTTTTTCATATTTGCGGCCTTTAAATATAATTCAAAAGCCATCCTTTTATCAATGGATGTCCCAAATCCATATAAGTAACAATAGCCCAACATAAGAATGCCAAGAGAACATTCCCCTTTAGCACTTCGACTATAATAGTCAAAGGCCTTATTATAATCTTTAACAATAATTCCTAGTCGATAAAAATTTCCAAGATGATATTGTGCAATTGCGTGATGATTATTCGCTGCATCATTATACCAATAAAAGGCCATATCATCATTTTTTTCAGTTCCAACACCTTTCTCATAACAAGATCCTAACGCAAATTTACCTACTATACCTCGATGCTGTTTAGCACTTTTATTGTAAAATTCAAATGCTAATTGTTTATCAATTGTAACACCTAATCCATATTCATAATATTTTCCTAGATAATATTGAGAAATAGGATGACTTGATGATGCTTGTTTAAAATAGTTATATGCTTTTCCAGAATCTAAAGCTGTACCAAATCCCGAATAATTCAAATACCCCATTAAAAATACGTGATCTAAATTTGTTATTTTATTTTCACATAGCCATGCATAAATTCCTTCAATGGTGACGTTGTGCGATGATAAATGATTGCTCAGAATTGAATGACATAAATCACGAGATTTTCCTTCATTTATTGCCTTTACCAATAAAGCTACTAATCCAATAATCATTTCTGAATAGTTTTGCCTTTCGTTTATTTGATCGTTAATCTCACTTAACAATGCTCGTAATCTTATAACCACTTGCTTAATTTTTGGTCTATTATCCGGTTCATGATCCCAACATTCTAAATAAAAATTAAATCAAATTAATTAAATTAATTAAATTAATTAAAATTAAATCTAAAAATTAAATTAAATTACATTATATTATTTATTTACCTGAATAAAGCTCAATATAATCATGTGGCGTACCAGGAATCAGGTTTTCCTTTTGCTCATAACTAATATTAAGTGGTGGTCGACCACTAGATATCTCCCATAATATTATTCCAATACTATAAATATCACTTTTCTCATTTAGAATATATTGATGGCTTTTAAACGCTTGTGGATCCACATAATGATGTTTCACTTTTGGTACGGTAGATTCCTCAATTTTTGTTGATAATCTAAAGTCAGCTAATTTAATGGATTTTTTGTGAACTAATATATTATCGGAATGCTGTTATAATAAAAAAATACAATTTAATTATATAACATATATTTTTAAAAAATCATAATAATAATAATAATTATATAGATTACCAGGTTACCATGGACAATTTCTTCTTCATGCAAAAATAACACAGCACTAGATAATTGGTACGCCAAATCATATTTATCATTCCAACCAAGGGTTTGGAAATTATGTTTCAAATAATTATGAAGCGATCCACCATCGGCATATTCTAATACCTTCGCGTATTTATTTTCATCTATTAAATCAAAAATAAATTTTAGTAAAGAAACATATATTCGTTCAAAGAAAAAGAAATATATTATATTGTTCGTTGATTTTAGAATTTTGAGTGAGGACGTTCATACCTGATTTTGTAAATCCGTAGAACCGAATAATATTGTCAAATAACTCAGCTTTACGATAAAGTTCAAGCTATATGGCACATAAATATATATTATTATTTCAACATAATCATTTTACAATGATAAATAAATGTTGCAATTACCTCATTATTAATAAAATTATAATTTTTAGGATTAAAAAATTTTAAAACGAAAACTTTATCAGTACTTTTCCAGTTTGCACGGTAGACTTCAACACTAATTTTTTTGAAATCTTTGAAATCTTTGTACTGATAAAATCTGATATTTTTATCGGAAATGAAATGTTCCATCCATGAAGTAGAAGACATAATTTGATATTTTGATGATAAACTTTATACATGCCATGCATGAATTTTTTTATTTTATATAATTTTGTCGATCCTAACTGTATTAAGATTTTACCGTCAGCCTCAGACAATGTGGTGTAAAATGACCGACCGGAAAAATAAACTCCTTTCAGCCTATATAAATGTATAATTTTCTTTTTTTAAAAAAAAAAATTAAAAAATAATTAAATTTTTTTAAAATGAATTTAAACTTTAAGAAACTTTTAAATATCGCAGTCCAGATAGTTGATACCCAATCAGAACCTGCAATTGTCGAATTAAACGAATTAAAGCTAAAAGATAATTTGTCAAATATTCGCAAAAAACTCGAGAAAAGCGGTGAAATTGAAATGAACGATACGTTATTATTTGCAAAAATACGTAGACAGAATGGTAATGATACTGAATTTGAACTATTAACTATAGCAAGAGAGGAAGAAAATGAAAAGGTTTTAAATGATATTATAGAAGAAAAGGAAGATCGTAAAATTTTTTATTTGATGAAACATCCAAATTTTGATCGGAAAGAAGTTGTTGATATTGCAGTTGATATTGTAGTTCAAATCGACGACCAGTCATCATTAAATAAATTGGTCACATTAAACCCAAAAGATAATTTATCAAATATTCGTAAAAAACTCGAAGAGAATAGTTTAATTGAAATGAATACATTAATATTTGCAAAAAAATGCGGACAAAATAATAAGGTTACGTTGGCTGAAATAGCGAGAGAAGATGAAAACAAGAAGGTTTTAAATAATATTATAGAAAACAGTCCCGACAATCTATATATAACGTTAACGAAAAATTCAAACCCTGGTTGGGAAGTTTTTAATGGATTGCGTAAATTAGATTACGGACGTACTATGTTTTTTGATGGAAGAACGGTAACCAAAGAGGCTAATAGGAGAGCATTTATAATGGGGAATTGTGAAATGACTAAAATCAACGGTGACGGATATAGTAAAAGTGAACATGAATATATATCAAAAGAAGATTGTATGGTGAAGACAAATTTCTTTTTTAATAGCGACATTGGTGTGGATTTTGTAAATTTGGGGATATCTTGCGAACAATCACAAAATATAAATTCGAAGTTTGAAACTAATGTATCGTATCGTTACACAGAGTATCGTAAAGTATCTTTGAAATTTGATAAAGGTTCTTTGAAACCAACTGAAGAATTTGAGAAAAGGGTGGTAGATGCCATAAATTCTGAAGATTCTAGAATTCAATTTAAGACAATTATTGAAGATTACGGACAATTCATTCCAACTGAAGTTATTTTAGGTGGAAGAGTATATTATGAAGGGAAACAGATTGCAAGGGAAGATTCTGAAGAGAATGATAAAGAAGGTGTTTTTGCAAGCGCAATTAAAGCTTCTAATGTAAATGTAGGAATTGGTACCAAGAATTCAAATAGAAAATACAAATTCGCTGAAGATAAATATACAATCTTAATAGGAGGAAAACAACCCATTGGTGATTTTGTTGAAACAACTTGGAGTAAATCTTTGGAAAATTATGAAAATTGGAATTGCATAGAATATAAAAATCTCATTAGTATTTTTCAACCTTTATCTGACGAATTACGTCAAAATATAATTAAATCTTTAGGAAAAAAAATTCGTTATTCAAATATTGAGAATTATAATTATGAATTTTTGAAAGTATCAAACATTTTCAAAATTAATACAATACCAAAAGATATTGAAAACATCTTTCACAAAAGTGAAGATTATGGCTTTTTTGCAGCAGTTGTTGACACAAAAATGGACAATAATGTTATTTTTAACTTTCAAGTATTTTGCCCATCAAAAGGAAATCCAAGAATTAAAATTCACTGTATTCATAAAAAAGAACCAAAAGAACGTGAATGTGAATTGAAAATTAGATGGATGGTCATTGATGATTATGATTTAAATTTTATCCTTACGGATCTTAACGTTGATCAATTTAATATTATTAAAAAAGTTTGGAATACAGATTCTATGGAATTCAAAGATTCCTTAAACTATCAAGAGGGTTCTTTGGTCAATAGAGGTCATTGTCTTACTTCCGTTATAAATGGAGATGAATCTAGTTTTTTAAATGGTTCTCTTGTCATTGGACATCATTTTTTCAACTCTGACCAAAATAAAATCGGACTGTACGCATTTGCTTATTGTTTAAAAAATAGACGATATGTTAAGCCACCTGAGTTTACTTTTCATACACTCATCATTTCAAATTATCCTAAGACTGATGTCTATGACATATACCGTTTCGAAAATCAAAGTGGGATGAGAAATGCAATGAGTAGATTTAGTAATAAGATTAATAGATCTAATTCTTCAACAAAGACAAAACCAAAATATATTAGTTTATATTGTACAGGAGTAAATAATTGTGGTCCAATTTTTCTGAAACAACATGCCAATAAAGTTAATTATAAACTGATTAACTGCGGTTGTAAACAAAATAATTCTTGTATTTGTAGGAAAAAAACATCGAAAGAAAATCTGAATTATACAATTTTTGATCCAAAATAAGACAATCATTTTTTTCAATTACAATTGTTGAAATATTTTAAAAGCAAGATGGTTATAATTTTTAGAAAATGAAATTTAGATATTTACTTAACACAACGCGTTACAATTAATATCTATTACAAATTATATTAACACTGCGAATATTTTTTATTTATTTATTTTATTATTATTATTATTTATTATATTTGAATTTAGAATATAAAAAATAGGATTAAGGTTTATTATATTATTTAAGAGATAGAAGATGGTCCTACAAAGTTCCAATACTTAAAATATCGATTTAGTTTAAAATTATTTAAATAAAATTGTTCAAAATATTTGGGACTTTTAACATCGTTTATTAAATAAAATTGGTTATAATCTTTTTAAAAGCAATGGTTATTGTTCTACCATTTTATTTTGCAAACTTGCACCAAAATTTTGCGAAATTACTTGTATTGATAAAATACATCAATTTAATTATAAATTTCAGATAATTATAAAATGTCATCATTTAAAGTTGACGTTCTAAATTTTATTTGAACTTGTTTCAATGAGCAAATTTTGCTGCTTTATTAAGTGTATTAAGTGATGATATTTTGATTTAATTAATCTAATTTCGTCCCTTTTTTATTTAAGCGTTTTTTTATGTGAATACAGTAAGATTTAAACTAATGTTTTTGAATATTTTACTAAAACACTAAAATATTTATAAATTTTCAAATTCCGTAAAACTTATAATTTAATACTGAATAGTAACATCAAATATGTTATTTGGATACTTTAATAGACTATCTAAAATTTTCAAAGTACTGTACATTTTTATTGAACACTTCTGTCATTGAATTGACAATATATTTTATTTGCGATGCATAAAAAATCATATCCGAAAATTTAGCTCTAATGACTTAGTTAGCGCTTCACGGCCTGGGACGAATGCACTTTTGCGGTCGTTAAACATTTAATTGCAATATTATGGCAAATATCAATATAATTTATTAGAACTTGCGTAGGGAAAGAGAGAAAGAAAGATCAGGTTACATCATTTTATTGCTTATTATTAATTTATAACTTGTAAACTTTGTGTAAATTGCTTTTCCTTAAACTTTTAATCATACACCGTCTTATCGAAAATATCGCGTATATTTAATTAAATTTGATGCAGCCATCGGAATTACGCTTTTTGACACTATTTACATAGGGCAATTTCGTCAAATGTTTTATTTTTATTTTATTTTTTATTCGCATAGCTCGAAATCAAAATAAATGTTTCGGGTGTTTTTTTTTTTTTTTATTAATCTTCATTAATCTATACACCGCCAGAAGATTTTATTTTAAATGTCCAATGCCTATAAATTTTCTCTCTTTTAATAGTACCAGACGAGACAAATTCTGGATTCGGCTCAGTCGTCTTTAGATCGAATCAGCTGTTGATTGAGTCGCGGCTCCTATAAGTTTTAGTCAAAATAAAGGTGTCAGAATCCCATTCTGCTAAAAATTTAAAGCTTTAATTTTAATTTAAAATTTCGCGACGTTCAGACATTTAATCAAAATTAGAATAGCGACTCAGTCACAGCTCGATCATTTGAACATTCCGGAGTCGACTGCTCTTGGTTTTTGCAGAGTCGATCGACTAAGCCGTCGACTCTTACTCCTACGGCTGGTATCACTATTCTCATTTTATTGAAAATTTATAAAACTAGAATTAAAATATCAAATTCTAAAGCCTGTTTATTCCTTTTCTATCATTCTGTGATAATTTATTTTTGTTATAACAAGTATATGTAATACAAAAAAAATTAATTAGTAACCTTAAAAGGTAAATATCAATATTCTGCTTTCCTTTAACATCGATGACAAGATCAAAATTATATTAATCTATGAAGGAAATTAATTATCACAATGAGCACCAAAGATGAGAATCTTCTTTTAGATGAAGTTACATGTCCAAAAAAAGATTGATCGTATTGAGAATTAATTAATATATTTATAATTTTTTATAGTGAATTGGAATCGATATTTTAAAATAGATTTATCTTTGATTGATCGAAAAGACCGAAAATTCCAAAGAATCTGAAGAAATTTAGACGTTAACGTAGGTTACAGTATAGTGAAATATACTTAAACTTCGTCAACTTACCCATATCCACATAAATTTCATGTGGACATGTGGAACTTTCCATTCCAGTTTTCATTGAAAAATATCGTAACCTTGAACATGGTCAATATTTACACGTTTCCGTCAACGTTATCTTGATTTGATTATTAATAATAATGTTTATTATTAGAGCAAAAATCGTAAATGATGTTAGAAAATTTTTGGATGAACGATCAAATTTTTTTTTTTTTATATATTAGGTCGAAACTCCAATGATGAATATAATGATCTCAAACTTGATCGTTTTGAGTCGCACCAGAATTATACCTTAAGATTCTTGTAGTTGTTGAGATTGGATCGTGTATAAGAAATTGGTAAGGAATCTATTGATCTTGCACATAACCCTGAATTTACTACTGAAAAAAATGCTGTCAAGAATATCACATGAGATTATATAGATTTTATTCCACCATTTAAGAGAAAAAAATTAGATGTTCCACTAGCATCTGAATTACACACAGATTGTTGGAGAACTTTGTGAGAAATATCGAGTAGAATGTCCTCCTCTAAGAACCTATACAAGATTACTAAAAAGTGAATAATGTATTTTTTATTTTTTATTATTTTATTTTTTTAAAACTCGATTTTAATCATTCTTTCTTAATCATAGCGCGATTTTTTTGAAATTGATCATGTACTGTATGTGTCACCTCCTAAATTCGTAAAGAGGTGATTTTATGTTTGTTTGGTTTATTAGATTTATTAGGGAACACAATGTAATATAGGGAAAACATGTATGTAAATCAATCGAATATAGAATTAAATAAAGTTTTTATTGAAACAATTAAAAAGAAATAAATTTATTAAATAAAATGTAAAATAATAAAACAAATGCAACTATTACTGCCTCTGCTGGTGCTCTGTAATAGGCCCAAAAAGAAAAGAAAACTAAGTTTAATAATTAGAATAGTTAGCGTAAATTTGCAAAATGAATATGTTAGTTTTAAAATTAATTCACATATAAATACATACATTTAAGAACCTTTTTTCTTTATCTTTTTATTATCTTTACTAATATTATCTTGTTGTAATAAATTTTCAATTTTTGAAATATGATCTTTAAGAGCTTTTTGGCTGAAAATTAATGAATCGAGCTTTGTTATAATTCTTAAATTTTGACTTATTAATTTTCTAATGATTCTCCTGAATGATCTTTATAAATAATAAAAATGAAATTAAGAAAATCATGCTTTTTTTAAAATATAAATATTAATTAAATATATGGGAAATTGTCAGTAGAAAAGGAGAAAATCTAAATTTTGGTCAAAATTTATATTATTAAACCACTTGGCTAATCTCAATTATATACACAAATTTGGCTTAAAAATAAAAATTTAACAAAAATTTTGGATTTTTCTCTTTTTACTGATCATCTCTATATAGGAGCTTTGTAATAGACTCTAAAAAAATCTTTTTTTTGAGTTAATGTTAAATCTGAACTTATTTTACTAAAAAAATTATAATTAGCTTAGAAAATAAAATTTTAATTTTTTTAAAGTTTCCTTTCTTTTTACTGCAAAGATCCTATATACTATTATCAGTTTTTTTTTCAGAATGTGACATTATTATAAGATAATAAAAAAAAGAAAAAAATATTGATATATAGACAAATCAAAGAAAAAAAGATTTCTTAGAAATGAATTTAGATGATTTCTTGAAATATATTTATTTATATAGGAAATGACAACTAATAATTATTATTAAGAGAAAAAATTAATAGTAAATTAATATAAAATACATTAAAATGCAGTGAATTCTGATGTAGCAAACAGCTGCAATTTACTAAAATTAATAGTGGTGGATTCTGATGCAGTGAACAACTGCAATTTAACATTCATAACCATAAAGAACAATTATCAAATAACTCAAAAAGATCACATAGTTTTGTAAGCGTAATAGTACAAATATAATACATTAATAAAATATGTGTGATAAAGTGTAAGATCATATGTCACAAATGCTATTCAATGTAATGTTCGCCAAATGATTATGACTGGCAAATGACTCAAATAACAAATGACAAATAGTCTGTCATTTCAATTATCAAATAACCAATCATTTCAATAATTTTTAAATATAGCATATTTTATTTATTATAGTATAAATAAATTAAATTTATTAAAATATTTAATTATATATATTAAAAAAAATTATTTCATATTGGGCAAATATTTTATATAGTATATAATAGATATTAAATTATATTCGAGTTCCGAACGAGTCAACTCAAATTATGAGTCAGATAAGTCTAATCAAGTTAAGTCAAATGCTAAACTCAAGCTAAAAATTGAACAATTTTTTAGTTTTGTTCAAAAGAATGATTAAAAATATCATTCTAATAGAATGATCTTTATTGTCCTATTAGAACAATTTTTTGTATCGTTCTTTTAAAATAATATAGTATCATTTTATTGGAGTGATTTTTTACCGTTTCTTTAGAATAACCTTTTATCGTTCTTAAGGAATGATTTTTTTATTCTGATAGAACGATAATTTATCATTTTATTGCAATGATTTTTTTGTATCATTCCTTTAGAATGATCTTTATCGTCCTACTGAAATAATTTTTTGTATCGTTCCTTTAGAACAATCTTTTATCATTCATAAGGAATGATTTTTTTTATTATTCTGATAGAATGATGTAGTATCATTCTTAAGGAATGACTTTTTGTAATTTTTTTTTTAGAATGATATAATATCATTTTACTGGAATAATCTTTTATCATTCTTGAGAAATGATACTTTTAATTGTTCCTTTAGAATGATTCTTTTATCATTCTACCAGAACAATTCTTCTATTATCCTTTGGAACGATTCTTTATTATTGGAAGATAAAATTGCAAAACTCTTATAGAATCAAAAA